CAACACGGTTCGTTGTTTTTATTTCTTGCATTATAATTATGATTATGGCTGTGGGTAATGCGTGAAACAACCTTGAGCTGCGCTAGAATATCATTAGTCGTCTTGTGAGCAAGTATAATGTGCGAGTATACATCTTGATAATAATATAAAAGAAACATGAACACGAAACATCGCATTTCATGAGACTGAAAATAAATACAACGAAATTTTTTAGGTTTTGGGTTGAAATTAATTCAGAATGAGGTAAACATTAATTAAGAAATATACTAAAGTTTTTATTTTGTTGAAAACATTTAAATATTGCAATTAATTGCGTTTTAAAACAAAAATTTAGAAAATCAAGTTTTTGAAGACGTGAATTGAAATATTGATGATAATGTAAATGAAAAAATGAAGATTTTTACATTGTAATGTAATACGGTAATAACTTTGATTAAAACATTGATAATATCCAGTTATCGCCGAATAAAAAGCATAAAAAGTAATGAAAATTCTTTATGACTGCACGAATTATTGCAAAAATTTCGCTCTCTCCGCGCACAACGTTGCTTAAACATCTTCATCTGCTTTTGCGGTGGCCGCTTCACCGAAGTGCATTATCTTAATTAAAAAAGGGTGTCTTAATGTTCAAGTGAGCATTAATTATTAGGAAAAGTTTTAATTGCTCTTGGCGGGCGCGTGAAAATGCCGCGCGCAAGCGAAAAGAACCGCGAAGTGGTTCAGCATCTCTGAGCGGAGGAAATGGAAAATGTTTAGATTTACACGAAGTGCACACAAAGTTTGGCGGCTTACAGAAAACACAAGGACGCGCGGACAGTGAATAGCAATAAAAAAACTTTGCGTATGTCGTTAAAATTAAAAGAAGCGAGAAAAGAAGTTTATGAGTGAAAATAAAGCGTTGCGAAGAAATTTTTTCATTTTTACGGTGAAATTTAGTTAAGCAAACTTAGGAAACTATGTTGCGCATGTGACTTGGTTGGCTATAGGTGTAAATATATGCCTTACCTGCCTAAATTCATATTACAATCAATAGAGGACGCGAGTAGTTCAACAAATGTATTTATTTTTCGGTGCAACGATAATACGATTCGATACGATAAAGAAACCTTGTCTCTAAGCCTTGAAGATAAAAATGTAAACATTATTTATCGTGTACGTATACATTTTGGTGTTTTGTTCTTTAGTAATTTCATACGTACTCAATCTTTTTTCATCTTAGCGCAGCGCGAAATATACCGAGAAGTTGCGTTGCAATTTTAATGTGTTATTATTATTAATGTTATACGAATGTGTTTTTTTTTTACTATTTACTCACGGCGTGGAATTGCTGGAACAATAATTCATAAATATTTAAGTCTGCGCGTGTGCAATAATGAGGCGCGCCCTCGAATGCGACCGCATTTTGTGTCCTGTCCCGCACACTTGATTATTCATTTATTAGCGCGCAATTTGTTTCTCTGGGTTCATAAATTAGGCGGTAGGTTAATTGCGTTTTAATCATCACATAATTTAAACATTTAACGTACTAATTCGTTATCAAAAATTAGATTTAAATGTAAAATTGCATTTTTTAAATTCTTACGCAATATGCATCTTTATATATTTATTTTATTGATGGAAATAATTTCTAAACAATAAATATATTGAGATGTTTGTTGATTTTTTTAAATTTGAAGGTCAAGTTTAAGAACACATCAATGAATCGAACTCTCTTTTGTTTGTCTTTTCATTCGGCGCATACTGGCATTGAAAACAGGTTTAAACGAAATTGGCAACACACCGGCTGTTTTATAAATAGCTGTATATTTGTTTATTATTTCTTTTTATACAGCATGTTCCAAATATTCACACATAAAAAGAAAAAATATTTCTTTCTACTATTTACAACCAAATTTAATTATCATAAGCACACATTAATTTATTTAATTCTTTTGTGTTTAATTTTACGCTAACATCTGTTATGTGGAATTTAATTTCGATTCTCTTGAGATTCGACTGAGAGAAAGTTTGTCCAAGATCGACTCTGAAGTTAAAATTCTTTGTAAAAGTTACCTTTCGCGATGGGGGACACAAACACAAGATGAAGAGATACTTTTTCCATAGGCTTATAAGGCAATATAAAATCCGCCCGACGCCAGACGAAAATTTAGAGGCCAGGGTCAAGGTTAAATTTCATCTCAGCCAACGGCAAAATTTGCTCAATCGAAACGATGAATCAGCATCAATATTACATTCTATGTCAATATCAAATAATATATGCATTATCAAATTTTTTATTTAAAGTTAGAATGCTTGAAGTTATTGGCAAATAGGTAACATCCTCCGCGACGTTTAATAAAACTGCATGAATACAAAATCATGTGTACCTATGGAAAATATCGCCGATCGACTAGACTACTGAAGAAAGAAGCAAAAGCGCTCGGATATCTTGATGCAAAAAATTATAAATTGTGCTTTCGAGGGGAAATATTTAAAGTCGTAAAGTGTTCGAGACGCTCTTTAGATTATGGCGAAACTTAGATGCCTCGGCAGGCGCATACTTTTCTAATAGAATAGACGCGATGCTACATGATGAAGAGGGGTGAGAGTGAGGTCCTTGCAATATAACTGCGCCCATGGCGGGCAACTTTTATGCTCTTGAAAAATGTTGCAAGATAAAAGGCAAAAATTCCATCGGGGGATGGAACTTTTGATAGATACATTTGTTTTATCAGCGATATGCATTTTAATAAAAGCTTTTGTCATAGTACCTAATAGCAAATAGTTCAGGTTACATAAAGCAGATATTTTTCTGCTTTGAATTGAAAATTCAGCTTTAATAAAGAAATCCCAATAGGAAATGAAGAATAGCAAAAATAACGAATCAAGATCCCGAATCCTGGCTTTTTCTTTGAATCGACTTCGAAAGCCCAGCGCTTTCTAGAGGTTAGTTGAGCGCACGTGCTGGTATTACTCTCGTGCGGCCGGAGGCGGCGAAACAAATTCAATCAGCTTCATTTGATTAAACAAGCGCTGGATTTTTCCGTCTTCGTTCTTACTCTCACCCCTCCGTCTGCATCTCAGCTCTACTTGATCAAAGTCAATAAATCATTTCGGCGCATTACGTCTTTCTCACTTCGCAATTAAGATTTTCAATTCAAGGGCCGCGATTAAGCCGCGCCGAAAAATGAAAATAGGATCAGATTTAAGACGTAAGACTTGATTTATTAAATGCGAATTGTTTGTCTTAGCGACGACTTTTGAAAATACTGTCGAAATTTTCTTGGAATTAGTTTGAAAATTGTTTGTTGGTTTTGCCTCACGGCTCTCTAAGATCAAACACAAATATATTATTAGCCGGATTGGTAAAGCAAGTAAATTGCTAAATTGTTAGATTGGCAAATTGCTAAATTGCCTCCAATCAGCCGCATCGAATCAAGACGTTGGTGAGGCATCACTTGAGCGATTCCGCTGTTTGTTCAGCTATCAGTGTAGAGTATATGTACACTTGCATAACTAGCAAACAACTTGGATTGGGGGTGCAATCGGGGCAAAGCATCACATCACACAACATGGTACATATTATGATATATCAGTGATCTTCCTGCATGAATAAGTAAATGTATATTGCGAAGACGCCTGGGAGTTGATTGAGGATGCGCAAACAAAATTAATACTCAACAAACACCATTAGAATAAAATTAAAATAAAAACATGGCTAGATTAATTTTTTGCGTGGGTGTTTATTAATTTAACTTAATGAGAATGAGAGATGCAACTGAGAAATTAAAAATTTAAATTAGTTCCTTGAAACATCTCATCAGTCAACATCTATTTTTAGTTATTTTTGACTGTGATGACGGCTCGTTAAATACGAAACAAGGTCGTTGATTTTTTGCAGCACGCAAACGAAACTCCCGGAGTCACCGGAGTCAATGTCACGGTTGACTGTACCGGTATATTCAATAACACGAATACGCTACGCAAAGAAAGTTATAATAAAAACTTGTTTTTGTTGTCTTGTTTTTTCTCCGTTGTATTTACTATGTAATCGCCTGCATACCAGGATGAAATTTTTAACGCATCATCACGTAATTAACTTAATTATCGTGTAATTAGAAAATATCTGATATTGGCTTTGGAATGTTTGGCAGCTAATTGAAATGTCTCGTGATGGCAACCGAAAACATCTCGGACATAGATGCTGACTTGAGTTGGAGCGTCTTGAGCTCGAGCTCCGCACTTGATTTGGACTTGAAATCATCCGGATAAATGTCATTAATTAGTTGCCGGCTGCGTTTAGCCGCGGCACGCGAGACATGTCCGCTTGAGGACAAATTGGAAAGCTCGAAATTGATTCCCGCCGGCGCTGATTTAATTAAAATCTAATTAAACCTGAAAGGCGCAATTTGTTAATACGAAAATTAATTAAAAAACAGAATTTTTGAATTTCGCAGATTTTTCAAAGCATATTTTATTTTACAAACTGTCTATGCGCTTGGTAGAAAAGAGTATTCACTCTCGGATCGTCGAAGATGCTCTCGTGAACAATTTAAAGCATAGAGCCGCGCCATCCATTCTTCTTCTCGGCAGCGCCAGCCAGTTCGGACGTTCCGAGAATTAAACGGCGAGCGCCCATCAATAAATAGCACTTTCACCAAAGATTAATGTCCTTTGTCGGTGTGCTTCGACGCTCTTTTGCTCTTTCTTTCCGTTCATTTGGTGTGACAGTCACGAATTGTTTATTATTAATACTAGAATAACACTTTTTAAGCCCGAATACAAATTAATAATGGGAAAATCTTCAGACGTATAATTTATAATTTATTATTAATTTGTGAAAATAGTTAATGAGTGAATGAAAAGTTTAAAATTTGCATTCAATGGATCTGCAGGTTTCACTTTTCTTGCCTTTTACGACGAATCTTTGTAATTAACGTCGGTGAATGCAATTGCTTGTAATTATCCAGTTAATTGTGATTCTAAATTATAAATAACATGTTTCCTATTGTTGCTTGCAGATACATAAACACAAAATAAACAAGGAATCTGGATGTTGTAAACTTTTGTGGTGAGTTTTTAATTTTTAAATTTTGAAATTATTTCGCGTGTAGATTGTAATAATTGTTTAATGTATAACGTTAAATGAGTTGGTGAAAATTAATGCATTGTTATAATTAGTAAATCAATTAATCTCGATGTTAAACATCGCCGTCGAGCGCTGTTTGGTTGACGCCGCACCGTCGGATTATTGGTTTATCGGGTTTGGCGTTTTATCGCAAGCGCGTCCCGACGATAAAGTTACACAACAGCCGATCGCTAATTTATGTGCCGTTCTTTGTGGTGACGCTCAATGAGGGAAGGGGTGAATTGTCGAAACTGCCATTGTTACGCATTGTCTCGCCTCACATTTCATCAATTACTATTAATTCCACACGATCTACGCTCAAAATAACTCAAAAATTCACATATAAACTAAAAAGATAAAATTGTGTCAGAAATTAATTAATAAGTTATTATGGCCCATAAACCTTAATTATTATGTAGGTGGCATGAAATAAACGTGTAGCAGCATGTGCAAATTGAAGTTCAAACACGAATGACTCGCGTATATTGTTTATTGCACGTCAGTTATGAGTTGAAAATTATAAATTGCAAATTGCGTAGTCGCACGCCACGACATTATTAAATATTCGATATACAATTCCCAACGCATTTCCTGCAAATAAATTTATGTCGTAATTACGCCGCGTTCTAGAAAGGTCATGGATATTTTACATCATGCAGCAAAAATCGATATTTATATTTACTAAAAATCTCATATTCATGCCGGGAAAAAATGCACACGTAACAATAAGCTAATAATCATAAAATATTCAATTACATTCAACAAATACATGCGTTAAATGTGTAATAATTGTGCATATGCGGACGTATTTGAAATACATATTTAATCCAACGTCAACATCCGTGTTTTTCAAAAGTGGTGAATTTTTCATGCGACTCCAACGTTGGTTTTAATTTATTGTCGCGTTTTTTTTCCGACTTTTTCTTTCGTTCGTTGCGTGGTTGCATGACTGCAGTACTAGCTTACATAATTTGCGAGAGCCAGCTAACAATATATTTATTTATTCTCGGTTTTACTCGGCCGCAGTTTATAATTACTTTTTTTTTCGCATTTCATTTTCCTCTTCGCGTTCGTTTCGACAAGTGAACAAACGCCGCGGCGCGGAGGTAAAACGTCGAAGGAAACGTAAACGCGTCCGAGTAATTTAAATCGTTCTGAATAATTTAAACAACTGTTGTTCATTCAGACGTTTAGTTGAGTAACCATCTGACGCGCGCTCTTCTTCTCCTCTTGTTTCACTTTTTACTTTTTGTTCGACTGTGTGCACTGCAGTGCTGAATTGAATTGACTCTTCTTTGTGATGTTGGAATACGTTGGATTTGAGGACGGAAACTTTATACATTCTCCGGCTGTGCGTGCGCGCGTAGGATGAAACGTAAACGCGGCGGAAAACGAAACAAGCGAATCCGAATGCGAAATGCGAAATAAGTAATGCGAAGTAAGAAGCGAAACGAAAGTTGCGCGTCGGTCGCATCTTTGCATATTTGCATATTTTATGCAGACAGGAGGCGACAGAGGAAAAGAGAAATTCATTAATCAGCGCAGAGAATATCTGCAAATCTTTAGATTTATATTTATATTTAGCCACCTGCATGGAAAAACACATTTTCTTTTATTAGAACCTGAGAGCGGTTAAGAAACTTTTGTTATTTAAAAAATAAATAAAAATTAAATAAAATAAGCCAGAATTTAGTCATTTTTATTACCTAGGCATCTCAGGATATTGTGTTTACAATAAAATAGTAGAATTCAATTTTATTCTTAAAAATAAAAATTTTCAGAAACCAAACCTAAACATTGTGAAGATTGATGAGTGCACAATTTATCAAAATATATCATGTTCGCCTTTTCAAGGATAAATCGAAATGAATTCGATGATAAATCGAGTAAACATTTTATTTTTTAAAGTTTATTACTTGTTTTGCATTTGATTAGAGATTTGTAGGGTGTGACAAATTGCACACACATGCTGTAATTGCAACTCGAGTTAAACTTAAACACTTAAACACACATGTTTGTACTAAAACTGGGTCAAGTACTTCGGTTAACAGCTTAAGAAATCACTTTTCTTTCGTGCTGTGATTGCCTGCATTTATTGTTTACTCGCGTACTTTCCAAGCAATATTTCAGGTCACATCAAGATAGACGAAATAAATTCTAATAATTATTGTTATAATACGATTTTATCTCTGATTTGTTTGATTGCTTTTGTCAATATTGTAATTATCTGCGATTGGAGTGAATATTCATTGCGTTTGCTTTGCTAACGAAGCTTAATGAGCGCTGCAAATGTTTCAACGTATCAACGTGTCACGTGTGAAATGCACAAAACAGCAAGATAATAATAAATTCTTATTTGAGTTGAAGGCCTGCCGCCTGCAAGCGTGGCACATTTATTAAACGTCCGCAAACAGCGTTTTTAAATGTAGTTTTTAATATAAAATAGAGTTGTAACAGAAGCAGATGCAAATATACATTTTGTAGATGTAGATGATGTGTAATTTTTGCATTTTCACAACGTGTGAATACACGTGACATGCTGTGTACCGGCTTTGGCTGTTGCCGCTGCAAATTTCGCGAGTAATTCCATTTGGCGAACTTGATCCACTTCGTTACGACTCTGCGCGCTCGAGTTTTGCTCGTTTAACGACGACACGCGACCGCGCACGTGATTTTCCGGCTATAACCGACCCGACAACAACATCAACTGGCTTCCTATTGCGCTTTCAATTACATTATTAACTTCTCGTGATACATCACTACTTATACTTCAAATTAAAATTAATTCTCAGAATTATAGGCAGATTTTTAATGGGAAAATGAAATTAAGACAATGTAATAGAAATTAAAGCCTAGAGTTTTGAAAGTAGGTGAGAAAATGAAAAAAAATGTATAAAACGCGTATAAAACAAAATTGTTAGTTACATCATTTATAACTCAAGAACGGCTGGACAGATTTTGATCAACTATAGTTTTTTTGGATTCGTCTTTATCCCGAACAGGAGAATAAATATTAAAATATCAAAAATTTACAAATCCTGAGAAATAAATGAAGCAAAAAATATACCGGAAGTAGTTCTTAATTGGACGCTGCTGTTAGTAAGTGAGTTTTTAAATTTTAAATTTATAAAAAGAAAATAAATGTTAAATACGTATATAAACAACGTAATAAAAGTGATAGGCATGTAATTAATATCTAGTATCATATGTTTGATGATCCAACTGGTAAAAGTGTGCTAGTTGCGTAGCGCCAAGCATTTACGAAAGTTGCGAGAAAAACAACGCCTTAATTAATTATAACGATTTTCTTCTTTTCAAAACGAATTACAAAACTATTATTGCGTACGATAAATCTTGCATCAGTAATTCGAATTATGCATTACTGCGTTTCGACAAGACACGAAAACAATGTGGAAATGTACATAAATAGTATTCCAATGAGTCTGACTCGTAGCGCTGCAAAAGGCAATAAAAACTTAATGCATTATAAATCAAGTTTGAGCAAGTGCTTAACTCATGTTAATAATGTGAATTTCATGCAGGTAAATACAGCCACCAGGTGCATAAAGTACGTTTTAATTCATCGTGAAATTAATTTACGTTTTAATTTGTTAATAAAATTATTCATCGATATTTTTACAATGAATGTAATTGTTTACGGTTGTTTCCCGAATTGTATACAAGTTTCAATTCGACTTGGCGGTTGCTATTACTCCCTGGAGCACAACTGATAAAAACTTTTGGTGGAGGCGCCGGGCATTCATGATACTCCGTATTCCGCGCATTCAGAATCCACACTATATTATATTATCAATATAAGCTATGTTTCTCGTTTATAATAGTACAACTTCTTCTGTACTTCCACGACTATCTTGTCTGCCTAGGAAATCTTCTTACTGCGAGTGTATAATGTGTACGCGCGCGTATAATCCTCTGTTGGTATTTTGGCTTGAGCATAAACAAGATACGCCGACTGCGACTAACTACCCTTATCCATTATTGATAACAAGAATTTATCGCCGACGGTCTAATAAATTACATCAACATCAATTTGCTCATCAATTTGCGGCAGAGTCAACCGCTTGTTTTGCTTTGCGCGATTGGAATGTATATATGTATATAGAGAGATATAGGAACAAAGGCGGTCGAGGACCAGCCGGGAGATATGCCGCATCACGCTTCGTCTAGTCGTCTATTCTACTTCGGTCGGCTGTCGATCAACTCGTGGATGGTGTGTTCAGTTGGAATAAAACGATGAGGATTGCGGAGGATAAGCAAAAAATAAGTGGGAATAAAATTATAATGAAATTAACTGAATAAGTTATCTATTTCAGAAATAAAATGATAAAAATTGTTATATTTAATATTTTTAAGCATTTTTAAAATTGTTCCAACACGTTTGTATTAATAATTGTCGAATTTTATGAATTTTTTAATTTTAAGTTAAGAAACTTTAAAATCTGCTTGTAAAATATTAGATGCAATGCATTAGCCATGAAATTGTCGAGAGAGAACACTAAAAATCACAGAAAACAATAATTTAGACCTAAAATTTCATTTTTCAAAAAAACGCAATTTGAATACATTGGACTTTTGTCCCGATCAAAATTGTAAAATTTTTAGAATTCAGTTTGCCTTCGGCGTCGGATTGTGTATGGGATTGCATTTGACCTTTGGATGCTTTGCGTTGATTCCTTTTTTCCCTGTTTTGTGGCTGAATTTTTGACACACGCAACGTTTTGTTCCGCCCGTTGTGCTCAGAAGCAAAAAATAAAACATAAAACCGCGAATATATATTCATCTTTTATCATTCCGCATTGCTTGCGTGTTTGTTTTGCGCTAAACAAGTGTGATGCGGACGCTCGTATTGAAGCAAACCCGCATTTGGGGAGTTTTCCGCTTTTTTCCTGGCTTTGAATGGTGTGTGTGTATGTGAATGTGTT